CGGTAAAAATATAAAAAGTAATATTTCTCTCTTAACAGTGGCCATTAACCTGCCATGTATAGAATTTATAACTAATCTGCAAACAGTAAGATTTGGCCCTGATAATTATCCAATGATATTGTTAAAATTAGCATAAAAGGTTAAAACTTGTGCTAATCTGGGAATTAAAACAACCCAGGAATACAGACTTATATCACATAATATAGGAATATCACAATGCGATAGATTTGATACTCAGATTTACTTTTTCAAAAAATGTTAAGTATAAACTTAAATCGCCAGAATTTCACAGTAGACCTTTCAAGCATTTGGAAATTCTGGCTTATTGTAATAAAGTGTAAACCATTGCTGTTTCCAACAATATGCAAAATTCACACTTGATTGAAGAATACTCATTTAATAATTTGACTTCTTCAGAAAACATCAAAAATGAATTACCATTATATTGTAAACATGATCAAAATAAATCTTAAGCTATGAAAGAAAAACTGTAATTCCCCAAAGCAGCATAAATCTCATCCTTCAAAGGCATATGTATAGCAAATAAAGGAAAAGATATCAACAGAACTGGCTTGTCCATTAGAAATAAGAAACTCTTTTTAACAGGGGTGGTCCCTGGAAAGGTACAGTTTTGAAAGGTAATGAGGTGATTTAAAATTTTCACTTTGCAATTCTGTGAGGGCTCATTAATGTCCACTTGATTATTTAGAAGATGTGATCTTTTCAAGAAGCACCTTCTAACAGCAGTCCTGGAATGTTAGTGGTGGCTTGGAGAGTGCTGTATTAACATAAACAAGAAAAGTATGTTATTAAACTTGCAGGCAAAGAATTCTTTTCCAGGATGTCGTCTCAGAATATTACCAGCTTTTTAGATCTGCACCATGATTGGGTTTCCTTCACATTTATACATCTTGTGTATTGCAGAAGAGAAAAACTTTGATGTTCACAGTGAATTACTTATCTACTCATTATCAATGTAGTGACCCTCACTCCCAAAATTAAAATACAAATACACATATACACAAATAATTATGATAATGAAACTCACTGCTGCCTTCAAAGCTTGATCTAGATCTTCCAGTAGGTCTTTTTTATCTTCTAAGCCCACAGAGAGTCGAATCAATGTGTCACTAATTCCAAGAACATCTCTGGCATTCTTCGGCACAGCTGCATGGGTCATGCGTGCCCTGAAAGAACAAATGAGCATGTTTCTGATATCTATATTGTGTCCATGGAAGATATTTATATCTCATGCATTGCAATTAGCTTCAACTGTTTCTACTCCAAATATCATGTGTTTTGTTTTCCCTTCCATTTTTTCACAGGCTATAAATGAGAAAAAAAAAAAAAAAATCTCTTCTAATCATGATTCTACGTGAAATCCAGGATCTTTCATCGGTGAGTAAGGCATACTCAATGCACACGCAGAAGGTGCCAACCAAACACCCCCTGGCAGGTGGGAAAGGCACAGCCACCTGTGCCTTTTAAGATCTGCCCAAAAGAGGCCTTCGAAGGAAGTCATATACCTCATGAACCACCTGTGGACAGCTACCCAAAACTCTGACTTACAGGAGGCTTCTTAGAGCAACAGCTTGCCAGAACTAGTTCCTTCTGATCAGCAGATCAATCTAGAACTGGACCCCCTGATGCAGATTAAGGAAAGACCATCTGCGTTTATTAGCTTGCATGAAGCATCCCTGTGACAACAGACATAGAGACCAACAACATAGAGACCCTGAAGGATTTTCCAAACTATCTAAAAACTCGTCATTATCAACATGTGCAAAGGTAAAGCACTTACTATGTGTCAGGCACTAGAGTAAGAATTTAAAACCAAGAAGAGTGAGACATATTCTTTCCCTTGGATTATGAAGTGAGAGTTAAAGAATATGACAACTCAAAAACCAAAATAACCAAACTCACTGTCATCGAGTCAGATCCGACTCATAGCAACCCCTCCTTGTGTTTCTGAGGTGGTATCCCTATGGAAATAGATTGCCCAATCTTCCTTCTGAGGATTGGCTGGTGGGTTTGAACCACCAGCCTTCTGGTTAGCAGCCAAATGCCTTAGGCACTATGCCACCAGAGCTCCTTCACAAAACAGAGTAGACAACAAATGCCAAATAACTATGAACAATATACAAAAAAACCCATGGCCATCAAGTCAATTCCGACTCATAGTAACCCTATAGGACAGAGTAGACCTGCCCCACAGAGTTTCCCCAAAGCTATAAATCAGAAGCAGACTGCCACATCTTTCTGCCATGAAGCAGCTGGTGGGTTTGAACTGCTGACCTTTTGGTTAGCAGCCAATGCTTTAACCACTATGCCACCAGAGCTCCTCATGCCAAACTTCAGAGGAAGAAATCACTGTAGGCAAAGGCTTTGTGGAGGAGAGGCTTGTAGCTTAAGCCCTCACATGTATATTGCTGCCAACACTCATCTCTTCCCTGCATACCACCAGGAAAATTACCACCTACGCTGTTTTCTTCTGTCTCAGTTCAGACCCATGGAAAGAAAACTCTCAGCTGTGGTCTCAGTAAATAGCTATCTTCTTTTATCACAATGAGATTTTTACACATCTACATCCTCCTTAAAATGTTCTGCCCTAATCACACTTGTAATTCCTTTAAGACAGTGCACATATAGAAATAAAAAGTTAAGCTTCAGAGATCAACAGACTTGGGTATGAATCCCAACCCCTTCAAATGCTAGTTATGAGGACTGGTAAGAGGTACCTGTCCTCAGAGACTATCTTTTCATTGAAATAATAACAGCCACTCCTCGGAAGGAAGATGGGGTGATCTACTTCCATAGTGATACTGCTTCGGAAACGTAAGGAGGGGTCGCTATGAGTAGAAGTTGACTCAACAGTGAGCCCATCAGTCAGTCATCCCTTATTATATGCTTGGAGTCCTTGGCTAGTGCAATTATTTAACACACTCGTTTACTAACAGAAAGGATAGAGGTTCAAGTCCATCCAGAGGTACCTTGGAAGAAAGGGCTAGTGTTCAACTTCAGAAAATCAGCCACTGAAAACCTTATAGAGTATAATTCTACTCTGACACACATGGAGTCACCATGAGTCAGAATCAACTCAACAGGAACTACAATGCTATTGGACACTTCCCATGACACAGGTACTCTACTAAATGGTTTCTGTGCATCAATTCATTTTAAAATGAATAAAAATTGGTTCATTAACACCTATCCCAAAAGTTTGTCACAAGCATTAATTTTAGGAACATGTATAAAGCACTTGTAAATACCTGGAATGCAGTAGATGCCTAATAAAAACAACTCATTGTAGTAGTCACCACTTACTGGGTTATTCAGTGGAAACCAAGGCATTAGTGTCAGGATTTTTTTCCATGTTCTTACAACAACCCTAAGAAATATACACAGTATTAACCACATTTTACCTATGAGGAAACTTGGACTTGGAGAAGACAGATAATGGGTCTAAGGTCACAGAGTTAATATGTGCTCTCAGGCTGGGAGACTAACTTAGTACACACTGGCTCTGCTTCCTTTCTCCCTTATTGCAATGCTGGACTGGTTGCAGCAGAGTTGGGAGACAAAGAATGAAGGGTAATAGAACAGATAAGCCCTGACCTAAATTCATTTGTCTTCTGGCATCAGGTTATAGCCTAAGATAGACTGCCTGGGCCAAACAAGTGTAAGCAAATCCCCAAATAAGTCAAGAGGTCTGTTTTTAAGAAGTGAACCTAAAGTTGTTATACATTTTATTGCTTTGAAAAATAAACCCATGTCATATGGTGAGTGTGCCCTCTTGTGCATCCAGAGTTACTAGCAGGAATCTTCTGGGAAGACTGAGAGAAAGCCCTATGTGTTATCTGAATTACTTTGATTCATTACTTGAGCATCTTATTATTTTATTTTATTTTTTTGAAAAATTGCCTTATTTCTCCCAATGAACTGTAAACTATGACAGAGAGGATAGGAAATATGCCCAAATTTTGGTGACATTCTTCAGCACAATGCTTCACAATTTTCCATAAATGTTCACAAAAATTAAAACACAGAAACACCCCATGTGCATGAGTACAGCTGAAAATTATTAGGTTAATGGAACTCATTTACCCCTATAATAACTACAATGCATGGTCGTAGCAACATACAGAAAAAGAAAGACGTTCAGCAGTGCTTGATGAGACAGGTAATCAGTAAATAATAATCACCATTTTTATTATTAAGCCCCTTATATGGACGAAAAAATTGAGGTTCAATGGTTAAGCAATTGGTGGAACCATGTTTCAAATCCAGATGTTGGCTCCTTTTGCTTCCTATTACAAAGCCATAGGAATGAAGTTGCTAACATACTCCTGTGGGTTTTTTTCATTTTTAAACAAATTCTTATTTAAACATTCTTTGTATTCTTGTAACATTTGAGTAAACCAAGTAATCTTTCTGGATCTTTGTTTCTTTGCTTATAAAACAGTGTACAGGATTGCATGAGCTTAAGCTCCTTTCTATTCTAATATCCTTTGGTGCTTTGATAAGATTAGATTAATTGATTGAGTCAGGTTGTGAAGGGCCTGGGATACCAAGATAAATTTTGGATTTAATGTTATAGACAACATGGAAGCATGGCACATCTTTATCCCACAAAGAACAGGAAATAAATGAATTTCCCAGTGTCTAGTTGGACTTCTCTGATAATCAAGGGTGTGGAGGAGTTTTATCAGAGACCCACATTCTGTATTTCTCAGGGAGCCTTGAAATCACCTTGTCCAATAGTCTCTAACCAACCTGAGTGGAGTAGAACACATGGCCCTTGATCAGAGGTCAGAGATCCTATATTGCAATCACTGCTGGAATTTTCCTCAGGTAAAACACAAAAGGAAGCAAAACTTGGAAGGATGCAGCCCACTCATAAGCAGTCCACCATTAGATCTGGAGGCACAGTTTGTACTCATTTACTAACCTAAAAGTTGGGGGTTCAAACCTACCTAGTAGTACCCTAGAAGAAAGGCCTGGGAATCTGCTTCTGGTAAGATTACAGTTTAGAAAAATCCCATGCAGCAGTTCTAGTCTGTAACACATGGGTTGCCATGACTTGATAGCAAGAGGTTTGGTTGGTTTTTAATTTTTTTCCATTCTTTAGAGTCCATTCTCAACAGATAATGACATGCTGTAGTTAAATAACTTGCATTACCCTTGATTTTATCACATCCATTCTGAATCATTAAAACTGACATCAGTGAGGCCAAGAAGGCAGTATTTGCTCAAAAACAAAGTTCAGAAGGCAGGATGAGGCAGGAAAGAGAGACAAATGGAAACAAGGAACCCAGGAAAGAAGTGGGAAACGTGCTCCTACATTGACAGGCTTACAACTAATATCATGAAACAAAATGTGTATAACTTGTTGAATGGGAAACTAATTGCTCTGTAAACTTTCATCTTTCATCCAAATCACAATAAATGTTCCAAAAGAAAAAAAAAGAATGCCATCAAAGTTAAAATACTGAGAAAACCAGAAATATACTTACGGAAGCTCAGCGAGACTTTCGAATCCTCCCAAGCTCTCAGCCAGAGTAAATATCTACAGTGAACAAAACATTAATTTACATCTTCTAGAAAAGTAAAAATACTAAAGTCTAAAAACAAATATTTTAAATAAAATGGCCCTGGGATGGGGGTGGGGAATAGTAGTAATTAGAATTATGACTGCAAATTAGGCAAGAAACTCAGAACAAAAATGAGGGTAAAAAGCATAATAATGATTTTACCAGTTAGACATATTATGTGCAAAGTTTTTAAAAATTTAAAGTTGATCTAAGTGAATTTTCTATACCTTCTGGATTTGGCCCAGAAAATACACAAGATAAGCTCCAATGTTGCATTTGAGACCAGGACCTGTGGATATCTTTTAAATAAAAATCTCTAAATACTTACAAAATTATATATACTTACTTGTTAATTTGTATCACTTACTAAGTTAACACATCAACTTAACCCTTTAGGGGAGAAGAAATAACACATAGTTCTTGCATTTAGTGTTACAGCACCATAGAAATTTACAAATGTTTTTACAGTATCTCCCACAATTATATTTAATTAGGTATCTATTGCCATCTTCCTGATTTTAGAGGTGGACAAATTGGAGACACTGGGGCAGCTTTACTGACCTAGCAGCATTCTATTTACTCTATTCATTCACTTACAGACTTGGACTCATGGCCACTCCCTGTGTTATCAGAATAGAACTCTGCTCGATGGGCTTTTCAACGACTGATTTTTCAGAAGTACCTTCCCAGCTTCTGAGGTGCCTCCAGCTGGACTCAAAGACCAACCTTTCAGATAGCAGCTGAGTGCATTAACCATCTGCACCACCCAGGGTTAGATCTGTAGTTTTTAAACCTAAAAGTCTATTGTAGGGGTTCAAGGTAAACCTAGTTTAGGGAGTTACATAGGCCTCTTACCCAGGGTCTTTGAGACCTTCCTGTCTTTATACAAATTAGAAAAAAGCTCCCTTTCTCCAACCCTAAACAGATACAGCCTGGAGGCAGAGGGTTTAGAAAGCCATTGCTCCACTGGATTTCAGAACGACTTTGTGCAGTGCACTAATCACATAACACTTTGAGGTTTCACAAAATATTTCATTGGTAAAAAGGATTCATTTTTAAATAAATGTGAAAAACAATGCATTTGAATATGCCATATCTCAAAAACTGATTGCAGTATGTAGATAATTAAGCAAATGAACATATTCAGATGTCTGCTATTGTGTCATTATTGTTTTGTGCCCCATTTCCCAACATGATGAATTTCATGATTAAAAGGTTTATTAGTGCAACCTGCACATACACAAACATTAATCTGGGTAGAAAGGGAGAGAGAATGAACTGCTGTAAGAACGTCTTAGGAGGTCCCTGGGTGGTGTAAGAGGTTTGCATTCAATTGCTGACTTAAAAGTTGGTGGTTTGAATGCACACAACAGTGCTGTGGAAGAAAGGCCTGGCAAACTGCTTCCATAAAGATTATAGACAAGAAAGCCCATGGAGGCGTTCTACCCTGTATAGAGTTGCCATGGAATTAAACCGAATCAATTGCAACAGGTTTGCTTTGGTCTGAAGAAAGTCTTACTTCTGCAATTTTAAAACTTGACTGCTAACCAGAAGGCTGGTGGTTCAAACCCACTAGCCACTCCTCGGAAGGAAGGTTGGGCAATCCTACTTCCGTAGTGATACTGCTTCGGAAACCCAAGAAGGGGTCGCTATGAGTCGGGGCACATAACAACAACAACAACAACATTTTGAAAGTTTACCTTTAAACTCTTGAGGAAAGTCTCGGCATGCTGAAGAGAGCCCTTAATATAGAAGGAGACCATGCCTGGGCACCCTGTGCACTGACGCTTCACCAACTCATGCTGTGGGTGAGAGGGTAGTCCTGCAGCCAAGGCATAATCAAAGTCTTACTTCAGCATCAAGCATATACTTTCAGGGGAAAAAAAATGTCACTGTTCACTTAAGTAAACTGCAAATAAGTCTCAAAATGAGGACTACTCCTCACGTACCAACTACCTCATTATCAGACATTTCGCATTTACGATAGTAAAAACTCTGTGGTAGTTATGTTCCTGTGTCAACTTGGCTGGGCCTGGCTTTCAGGGGCTGGGCTGCTGGATGTAGTGATTCCTCATGATGACACTGGTAATCACCTCCACAGTGGAATCCACTGGAGCAGTGAATAGCTGCCTTGGGGATGTGGTCTGTTTCCAGTATACAAGAAGACAGTTTTGAGAAAGGTCTCTAAGGTTTCTAATACCCTTGGATCCTGCATGTAGCAGAGTCTTTATTCAGCAGCGGGCTGTACTGACTGCCAGTCTTGGAACTGTTTCTGAACTTGAACTAGTGGCCTGCCATGTTGCACTGTAACATTTTACTTGTTGATCTTGGGTTTGTCAGTCTCAGCTGTCAGCAGCTGCCTGAGTTAAGAGAAGCCTCCAGCTCCAGTGGGCCAGGAGCAAGAGGCAGAGATGAAGCCCAAGGGTGAGGGGCCTTCACCCAGCCCCAAGAGCTGGCACTTTGAACTCAGACTTCTAGCCTCCTCCACTGTAAGAGAATAAGTCCCTGTTTGTTAAAGCCATCCATTTGTGGTATTTTCTGTTAGAGCAGGACTAGAGAACCAAAACATCTACTATCCAACTATTTTGTACATTTATGATGTATAGGTGGCAGTAATGAACACCAAGTCGTGAAGCGAGAGCAACAGTGGCTGTGGTGGTTAAGGTTATGTGTGAACTTGGCTGCCCATGATTCTTGGAGGTTCGGCAGTTATGTAATAATGTAATTTTGCAGCTATATAATGGTGTAGTCTTCCTCCATTTTGTGATTTGATATGTTTATCCTTCATTTTTGCATAACACTGATTTTCAGTAATGACCTGGTCTTTGGAAACTAAACACTCATATCTCTGACTATGCCTCCTGAAAAGTTTTTTGGACTCTTGCTACTTACTCAGGAGGAAGTTTTAACCTCCTGGGAAAATTCCCGTAACAACAAGCTATAGACTAGTTTACTAATATCCAAGCATCCACTCGACAACAGGCAACTCAAGGCCAGAGACCATGTCTATCTTCTTTATCACTTAGCTCACCATAGTGCCTGACACAGCAGTGTTTGATAATAAATGAGCAACAGGAAATTATATGAAAAGCACCCAAATTTCAGATAAATGCTATGTAAATAGGATGCTTAGAATAATCCTTAAAATTCTAGTCAAAGGCATGTCTGCTTAGAAATCAGATTAACATACCAGGATAAAGAACCTTTTCTACCCTGGGATTAGATTCCAGAAACTGAGCAACTGCCATTCCATTTTCAAAATGCTTATCCATTCGGACTTGAAGAGTCTTTAGACCTCGATTGCAAAGGTAACAGTCAAGAGCTGATGGAACCGCTCCAAGAGCTGCAAAACAAACACATCCTGGATTAGTTTTAGGGAGAAGGTAACCAGAAAAATGTGACTCCTCTTTTTCATTATTATGAGTTTGATTTTCAGAAGGAATAATTAATGTATCAAATCAGAAGCATAAGAATGAAGCATAAAACACACTTAAAAAAACATGCTTTAAAATGGGAGAAGGGACGAATATACCAAAATGAAGTACAACATTCAGAAGACACTAAATACAAGCACTTGCATTCTACTTCCAAAAAATCAGTCACTGAAAACTATGGTGCACAGTTTCTACTCTGACACATCTAATAGGGTTGCCTTAATTCAGAATAAACTTGATGAGCAACTGCTTTTTTGTTTTGTTTTTGTTTTTAATACAAACATAAATATAGGGTCTTTACAAATATGACATCAATAGTCCCTTCAGAGTGAATACTCTATGATTTAATGAAATAGCGTAGTACATATGGATCTACCTTGCATTTCTTTGAAAAAGTGTTAAAACATAAAGAGAAAAACAGCCATTTTGTTCCTAATGTGACTAAATGTTCTTCCCAACATTCCATTCAGTCTGTGAAGCCACGGATGATTTCACATGCTTTAGACATATGTACCTCTTCCTACTTTTTATACAGAAAGCAACATACATCAACCAAGAAATTTTAGTTTCTCTTCAGTGTCCTTTTGTTACTTTAATATCTATTTCCTAGAAGAGTATTTTCATTTTTAATTATGTCTTTATCTGACCTATCAATTGCAAATTTCTTCAAATAAACCCATACCCTTACTTGAGAAAAGGCCACCAATATAAATAGGAAATAGTATTTAGATATTACATTAGAAATGTAAATATCAACGATATTTGTGAGCATAGGGGGAATCTGAGTTTTTAAAACTTACTGTCTTGCAAGAATCGGAGCCTATTATGCAGATTCTCAGAATTAACAGACACTAAGCCCATTATAACATCAGTGTGGCCTAAAACAAAACAATCAAAAAAGTTAAGTTAAAAACAGTTTGTTTATTCTTCAATTTATTATTTTTTTACAAAGGAGTTTTCCTTAAAAATTCTCAGGGCAAATGTCCTATAAGATAAGGCTAAGTTAATTCAATTCAATAGTAGCAAAAGCAATATATTAAACAAAATAAAAGTCATATAAATCATATAAATGCTTCTTTTTAAGCTGTCATCCAGTTAAAAATATAACCTTTTATAGTAAATTTTCATCTTCTTATAAATAATGAGAATGGTTTTCTCTAAGTGAAGTACTATATTTAATCAGAATATTTTTCTTTCCACGAGGCACAGAGAAAATCTGAATAATAGACGAATAAACCAGAAAAACAAACTCACTGCCACTGAGTCGATTCTAATTGATAGGGAACCCCATTGGGTTTCCAAGGCTGTAAATCTTTACAGAAGCAGACTGCCTCATCTTTCTTCCTTGGAGCAGCTGGTGGGTTTGAACCACTGCCCTTTTGATTAGCAGCCAAATGCCTTACCCACTCCACCACCAGAACTCCTTAATTAAAGACCAAAAGGGACCAAAATGTCAAGCCCTATGTTATTTTCATCTACTCATGGAAAAGAATGTTCAAAGTGTAGACTGTGTCTATCTTACCATTCATATATTTTGTTGCTGAACACATGCAAATATCAGCTCCCAGAGACAAAGGCCGCTGAAAGAGATGAGATTTGTTATTTTAAATGAATAAAACATGGTTTCATTTTTTTTTTTCCTATTAGAAATTTTCATTCCAATCAGTACTATGTTTTCAAAACTAAATACACCTTAAAAATTTCCAGGCCTTCTGATATTATCTTCCTCTTTTCTCCCCTTAACAAATATAAATATGGAATATTGGATTCAGTATTCAATAGGCAGACACAGTATGTGGAAAGAGCAGACAAACCCAGGTGAACAAGCCTCCTGAACTTGTTTACAGAGTCCCTAAGTTTACTACCTGCAGCAAACACGTTGGCATCTTATGACTCACTGAGCACACAGTTTATGTAGACACTCAGCAATTCTTATGTCAATAAGATTAAAATAATTTTAGTCATTTAAACCAACAATATATGCTGTGATTATTCACACTTGGTTTGCCAAGATCTTGACTTTTAACTATTCTTTTATCATACTAACTTTGACAAGTGTAAAGTCAGTTACAAAGAAATTCATTTGGCTTGTTTACCCACCCAATTTTTCTGCTTCTTAAAATGTCTTTGTTTATCTCAAATAACCAACTTATTCATTAAAAAATGCATCACTAACATCTTTCCTTTTACATTATCTTTAAAATAATATTGCGTGTGCGTGTGTGTGTGTGTGTGTGTGTAACTATGCATGTTTTTGGAAGCATTTGGAAACACATACACTAGAAGAGTCTTTGGAAGGTATTAGCGTAAGGTGGCTATAGAATTGTTTCATTTAGGGTGTTTTAAAAACAGGATGTTTTAAGTTAGGTATTGCCCAAAGTGCTCTCTACATATGTGTTTGCTCATCTCTGGGGTCAAACTAGATGACATCTGAAATCTCTTCTGGCTTCAACATTCTTCACATTCCATGGCCAAAAGGGAAAGGGGTGGGGCTCGACAGCAATCATCTCTTCATCTCTGTATGTGCCAAGAACCATGCTAAATACTTTCTGCAACTCAGTTGAGTACTGCACAAAATACTTCCCTCTGTACTTCTTTTATGACCCTCATTGTACAGGTGAGAAAAAAGAGACTGAGAAAAATGAAATGATCATGTAAATGAAAAAGCTGATAGAAACAGGATTCTACCTAGACTGCCCAACCTTGAGGCGCCCCTATGAAACTTTGCCCTGGTGAGCCCATTTTGTCTTTTGTGAGGCTCACAGAAGGTCTCAAAGGCAAAGGGCAGGGATAGAAGAGAAAACATTGTTTCTATGAGGGTTAAGACAAAGAGAGGACCTTTTTAGGAATATATATGCTGTGAGAAACCAATATACATAGTAAACAAGTGGCTACTAAGGGATGGTATGGTTTTGATTAATTCAGCTGGAATGACTCCAAACTGAAATGAAGTTAAGTTCTGATCCCTGGCATAAGGAATACGATGTGGGTTTCAGAAAGGCAGAAAAACCTGGACCTATTTTAGGGATGGTAACAGGAGAAAGAGGGCCAGGCCCAATGAGTAACCTGGGTAGGCCCAGGCTAAAAAAAGCCTATGTTCTCTTTGGGAGTCCACAGGACACACTGTGACTCAGCTAAAGACAGTTTTTGAAATATGAGCTGACCTAACATAAACAGCAGATAGGTTAGGGAGCTGCGATAAAGAATCCAAGAGTGAAAATCACCTGGAACAAATACATGATGCCAGGGGATTTTCACTTGGAAACAGACTGCATTGCCATCTAAGAAGCAGTAAAAGATACATCGCAAGCCACAGGTAGATGGTTAGTGAAGCTTCTGAATACAATATAGTTAGGAACTAAGTTTCAGGAAAGGAAAATAAAATATGGTAGTGCCTTCTGAATAAATGGAGGAAGGTGAAAAACAAGATTACCCCAACTAACCATGGAGTCTTCCAGTCACAGTGGGGCAGCAGCTTGGGCCAATTTCAGGACCCATACCAGAAGGGGGAAATGTAAACACTTGTGCTTGTAAACATCTGCCTAATTGAAGAACTGGAGATGAGCTAGGGCTTTAGGAAGTCTGAGGAATGAAGATGAGCTACAGGAAGTGTATTAGGAGTGACTATAAGGTACAGGCAGGAAGAAAAGAACTGGGAGAAGGTAAATTCTACCAAGAAAAGGAAACAGCTAGGTCATCCAGAAGAGGAGGAATAAAAACAAGCAGGAAAAGGCAGACAACAGGTCAACCACAGAGAGATCCCAAAACCACCTACCAAAAGGAGAAAAACAGGAAGGAGGTCGAATCAGGGAAAAAGGAAAGGAATGGAAGGTACATAGGAGGCTCAGGGCAGTGTATGTAGAAATGAAAAGACTATATACAGTGAAACCTGTGATGGCCAGAACTCGATGGGACTGCTGTGTTTTCTGGGCCTTGCAAGTTTTCTGCCTTTGGCAGGGTACAGTCTTACTCCTTTTCCATTGCTCGTTTTAGTGAAAAATATTTGAGTTTTCCTTCTCTGACATGTTTCAGGCTTACACAGGTTCAGCTTTTGCAGGTTTTACTGTATATATAGCTACAATATGAAAAATTATAGGAATTCAAAATACAAATAAGGCAAAGATGCACAGGGCTGTGTATAGCCCACAGGGCACTGAGGGAAAAGAAGGAGAGAGAAAAGGAGAAATAATATATGTGACATATACTGAGATGTCATTGTTGTTGTTGTTGTTAAGTGCCATCGAGTCGTTTCCGACTCATAGAGACCCCATGCACAGCAGAATGAAACACTGCCCGATCCCGCGCCAGCCCCACAATCCCTAATGTCATTAGGTATAAATTTTCCTTTTATTTGTAGGAAGTTTAGCCAGGTTAAAAAATATATACAAGCATAAGTAGATAAGATGTAACTAAAAAACAATATGACTGATTTCAAACAATACCAAAACTAAAAACCAAACCTACTGCTGTCAAGTTGGATCTGACTCATAGCGACCCCTCCTTGGGTTTCTGAGGCAGTATCACTACGGAAGTTGATTGCCCAATCTTCTTTCCGAGGAGTGGCCGGTGGGTTTGAACCTCCAGCCTTCTGGATTGCAGTCAAATGCTTTAGGCACTATGCCACCAGAGCTCCCTCAAACAATACATAAGCATCCAAATCCCTACAATATGTAAGGCATCAGCAGATGCAATCACGTAATAAGTCTTCAGAGACTACATATCCTAAGAGAACTTGAAAGCTTTAATTGAGAGACGATTTAGAAAACATATAGCACCACAAAAAATATTAACATATGACTAAAGAGATATTAACTAATTATAGAAAAGATCCCAACTTAATGCTTTGTCTCATCAACAATTATGATTAGATTCATGACTTGGATAATGCTTTTAATGTAAATGAGTCCTTCCTTTCCTAACTACAGGTATCTATGTAGTTTACCAATCATGACAAAACATATACATATATATTTTCACTTACTTGGAAATATGCTGACATAAAAGTATTATCCACGACCAAGATAATGTCTCCATGTTTATGGACAATGTGTGCACAAGCTTCAATGTCAATCATCTTCAAGCTAGGGTTTGTGGGAGTTTCAAGCCAAACAAGCTAAAAATAATTCAATATATATTGATAATTTATACAAATACACATCTCAAACATATATCCCATATATTTTAATAAGTTGGGGGCTACATTATAAAATGAAAATAAGGATTTTGAAGATGTAAGGTTTAAATCTTAACCTGGCCTCTTCCATCAATTTCTGAAAGGCCATAACTAAGTAATTTACCCTCTTTATTCCTCAAATTCTTCATCTGCAAATAGCATTGATAATATTTACCTCATATAGTGATGGTAAAGATAAAATGAAATAATATACATATAAGCAAAAAAATGCTAAAATTAATTATTGTAATTCTATTCCATAACAAACAGGATGTATTACAAAGATATGTTTCGGGATCTGGAGTTTTGTTCTCAAAGATAAATATCATAGATGGTATAAGGATACATCCCAGAACTTTCATTAAATAAAATTAACCCTATGATGACAAAAACATCTTTGATATTAATTTGAATAACTCTGACATACGGTGTTGTGTGCTGTCGAGTTGATTCCAACTCATAGCAACCCTATA